ATTCGAGCTCGGTACCCTCAGAAGTTTCTAGAAACTTTGAAAAAAAATCAATTTTCACAAATCTAAAATTTCTGAAAACAAAATTTTGAATGAAAAATTTAAATATTGTGAATCTGCAGAATCTCAGAATCTCAGAATCTCAGAGGCTCAGGATCTCAGAAGTCCCAGAATCTCAGGAATCTCAGAATCTCAGAGGCTCAGAGGCTCAGAATCTCAGAATCTCAGAATCTCAGAATCTCAGAATCTCAGAATCTCAGAATCTCAGAATCTCAGAATCTCAGAATCTCAGAATCTCAGAATCTCAGAATCTCAGAATCTCAGAATCTCAGAATCTCAGAATCTCAGAATCTCAGAATCTCAGAATCTCAGAATCTCAGAATCTCAGAATCTCAGAATCTCAGAATCTCAGAATCTCAGAATCTCAGAATCCCAGAATCTCAGAATCTCAGAATCTCAGAATCTCAGAATCTCAGAATCTCAGAATCTCAGAATCTCAGAATCTCAGAATCTCAGAATCTCAGAATCTCAGAATCTCAGAATCTCAGAATCTCAGAATCTCAGAATCTCAGAATCTCAGAATTCCAGAATCTCAGAATCTCAGAGTCTCAGAATCTCAGAATATCATAAACTCAGAATCTCAGAATCTTAGAATTTCAGATTCTCAGAATCTCAGAATCTCAGAATCTCAGAATCTCAGAATCTCAGAATTTCAGAATTTCAGAAACTCAGAATTTCAGAATTTCAGAAACTCAGAATTTCAGAATTTCAGAAACTCAGAATCTCCAGAATTTTTCGAATTTCGGATTTTTCGGTTTTCAGAAACTTCGAAAATTCCAAAATTTTGAATGAAATGTTTTTTGAGTTTCCCAAAATTTCGATTTTGGAAATTTCGATTTGTTGGAATTTCAGATTTTTGAAAATCCCAAAAATTAAGAAACTAAGGACAATTCAAATTTTTGAAAGTTTTGAATTCTCAAAAATTCAGAATTCCGGATTTCCTCCAATTTTTTTGGAAATTCCGGGCTCCCCGAATCCAGAATCCTCCTCCGAATCTCATTAATCCAATTTTCCTCTCCTTCTTCTTCTTCTAAAAAGAAGAAGAAGAAGAAGAACAGGAATATTCGCAACACAAAGAAGAAAACCTCATAAATCTTTAGAAATTCGACGGAATTCTAATTTCTCCCTCCTCCTTTTTTTTCTCTAACCACTCTCTCCTGTCTGGCACTCTCTCGCTCTAGCCATATTACACATGCACCACACAATTGCGCAACGCCCTATAGCTTCAGACAGAGAGAAAAACTCCTTTCTCTGCGTCTCTCCCTCTCCCGTACTCTCTCGTCGAATTGAAGCTCTCCGACGGACGAAGGGCGGACGAAAAGCGCTCCTCCCCAGCCGCGCCTATTCCCTCAAGCAAAACTTCGTATAGTGGAAATCGAGAATTTTTTTGAAATTTTAATTTTGAATTTTTTTTTCTATGCGCCTTTAATGCTACGGTAGCTTGCAAATTTTTAATTTTCTCAAAAAATTGTCTTTTGACAATACTTTTTTTCAATGTTTTTCTATGCGCCTTTAATGATACGGTAGCATTTTAAATTTTAAAATTTTCAGATGTAATTCCACCCCTCAAACCCTTGGTAATTCACTTTGGAGACAACACACCCACAATTCTACAGTAACCCAACTACAGTAATCCATCTTCCTAAAAAATCTGGACAAATTTAATGCTGAGCAATGATTCCGATGAGCCAATTTACGATGTATTCAAAAAAAAAAATGAAAAATCCCAAAAAACCCAAAAAAACCAATTTTTTGGCGATGTTGAGGTGAGCATTTTTTGAAAATTTTGATTTTCGAAATACTGAAAATTCGAAAAATCAGAAGTTCCGAAACTCAGAATCTTAGAATCCTCAGAATCTCGGAATCTTAGAATCTCAGAATTTCAGAATCTTAGAATCTCAGAATCTCAGAATCTCAGAATCTCAGAATCTTAGAATCTCAAAATCTCAGAATCTCAGAACTTCAGAATTCCA